ATCTCGATATCTGATACTCATATTGAAACCCGACTAAATCCAGATTTTCGTCATAAAGTCCCACATTAGGGGATAAAAGCGTTCCCCAACAAATTAAAGGTGACTCCTTACTTTAGGAGATTCAAACTAACTTTATGATGCATGATTTAAACGTTATGATAATGACAATAATATTGCTCTACCAAAAGCTTGTCACCATATCTTGTGGTCAAGGATATATAAGGTGTCTTATTTTTCTTTCTCGAAACAGTGTTACCACATTTTATAGATTTTCATGAACAATTGTATGATGAATAAGGATGAATGCACCACAACACATACAACAGGGAGGCATTCAAATCAATTGTAATACCTCGCAACTTTACTCTTAGAACATGAATCGTTCGTCTTAAGTATATGAGCTTGAACCGGGTGATGTATTACTTGTTCATGTGTTTTAAGGTCCATTACCAAGTGTATCAAGGGTATCATAAGTGATTTATGGTCATAAGGGACCTCTAACACTAAGTCAAGTTCAAAGTCTAAGTTTTTCGCGTTAGTTTACGCTAGAGTCAACTTCAAATGACCATATCTTTCTGTCTATAAAGAACTAGGTGAACCACGACCTATCAAATTAAAGATCTATGAGTCTTCTTTCCAACTCCACCAAGTTTGCATCAATTGAAGTTTGGAGTAAAAAGTTATGCTCTTTTTACTGGACAATGTCTTGCCATGCGCCAGCCACGCGACCGAGGCAATTTCCGCACGGGCGAGCGCCGAGGCAGTAGCTACTGCATTCTTGTGCAGTTGGCTGCGCGCCTGAGGCGTTTTCCATGTGAGCGCACGGGCATCTGAGGCTTTAATGACCCTCCAAAAACATGATTCACCTCCATAGTTCATAAAATTACCCTAGAAAGAAAATTTTCAAGAAGCTAACTTCCTCCAAGGTTCATCCATCATCCAATGTAAGATTTAACCACAAAACTTCTTAATTTCTTCATCTTAACACGAATTAATGACTCTTACTCATGAAATTCATAGATTTTTCAAGAAATCTCCTACTCATCTCCAAGGTTCCAGAAAGACGTTTCGTAGGTTTTCTTCTTCCAAGATCATTCTTTTCTTCGGTAATTGGAGCGATTAAGGTATGTAATACTTCAATGAGGAATTCCTTTCATCCTCATATCAAAGATTTATCAATGTTCATGAACTAAATTCCATAATTAGGGTTGTCAAACCCACTTTCAAGTTCATCCATAATCTTGACCCGAATTTCACGATTTGCTTAAATTAATTATTAAGATTAAAGATTCTTGATCTATGTACTTCCTTTTTATACTTAGTTAGGTTTTACATTGTTATTCTCGTGAGTTGTTGACATGACATTTGTTATGATTTCATGAAGCTTATATTTCAAAGCATGATTTTAGAGTCTTTATGCTATTATGGAAATTAATTACGAATACTTAGGAGCTATGCAAGCTAGGAAACTTTCTCATGATTTAAGTTATATACATGACTTTGAAAGATATATCTTAGAAAGATTTGAGCTTTGACTCACATATTTGAGCTTGGTTTCACCCTTTATTCAGACAGACAGATAGTTTATCAAACTATGAGCTTACTATATAAGTATATTATATTGGGAGTAGTATTGAGCATCGATATGGGGTAAGAGCTCAGACAACTCAAATCCCATAAACTACGTAGCCATCGTATATAAGATCGTACCGTAAGACGGGCGACTCCTCACCTGCCTCAGGGAGGTTTTTTAGTGGATCCATCAGTACGTTTGCATTCTATACTCTGGCAAGGTAAAGAGCGGCTCTAGCAACGTGGGTAAGACGTTGTATCATCACGAGGCTCATAGTGATGGTTGTCGGTTAGAGAAACTCCCCAGTAAAGTAAAAAGTATATATATATATTCCAGTTTAGTTCAGAATTTGCTATTACTGCATTTAATTTGTGAAGTTTAAATGAATTTATCTCATATGCATGCTTTACTTCAGTTGAGTTATATTTCAGTCTTTCAGTGCAGTTATTGTTTCACTCAGCCTTATTACATATTCAATATACTGATGTCATTCAACCTGCATCGTCTTATTATGTAGATATAGGTGTTCAGAATCATCAACATGCGCATCGTTGATATCACCCAACTTCTTACCCATGTTTGGTGAGGCATCCTTGCTTTCGGAGGACTCCACTCATTTATTTGCTTTAATAGTTTTATTTTAGGTTGTCGTGGGTCTGTCCAGACGCCTATCTCAAACAATAGAGGCTTCATAGATAGACAATGTTAGAGGGTCTCTCGATATTTATCTTCAGATATTTTGTTAAACTATTACTATTTACATTCAGTATTCTCAAACAGTTCAGACAATATTTTGACTTAAATGTTTCCCCTTAAGTTATTTAAAACTAAAAATGCTTGAGTAAGTCTTTCGCTAAGTAGTCAGCCACGTCATTTGCTTGGGGATCACCAATGGTTCTCGAGTGCCGACCACGTCTAGAGTATAGGCCCGAGGCGTGACATCAATATAAGTCTAAAGAAGCCAAATTCCCCAAACTCAATAAAATATGGTTTACGCACTCAAATGGAGAAATAGTGGAACAGTTCATTTGAAATAATCACGAATTAAGGTGTTTCTACTGATCGAACGAGAATTTTCCATCACATTCTTGATTATATATAGTTTTTACAGAAATCTAAAAATAACATATTTGATTGGAAAATATAATTTTTAATTATTTAAATTATAAGTGATCATAGAAGATTATTTTTTCGAGGCGGTGAAAACTGAGAACTAAAAAATAATTGGTGAAAGAAGGGAAAGAAAGAGCATCACCATACAGTCAAAAGAGGAATCAAACCACTGATACATATATAGTACATTTTTGTAATCTTATGGATGTATGGTCCTTTCTTGAATTAATTTATATCCCCGTGACTAAACTTTAATAATCATTCATGGTTATACAAAAAGCTAATTTTTTTACTTAACAAAATGTAATCAATAAAATTAAAGATTTTGAGTTTGAGCTTTTGATACAAAATTAATGATGGGATTGATGTAATTTTTATATATTTAATTAAAGATTTTGGATTCGAGCCTTTGATACAGAAAAAAAATCTCATTAGGGGAGTGCTTCCCCCTTAAATGGGTCTTACTTGACATGCATGGGTGGGTCTAGAGGGTAGCGAAAGGGTTCACCAAACTTGCTCGGCAAAAAATTATACAATATCTGTAAGGTATTTTTTATTTTTCTAAATGCATAATATGTACTTGGGGTTTATTTGCCCTGATTTCTTACCATAAATAAGTTTTCCTTTTAGGAAAATATTTTAATATTTTGAGTAGTCCTTTTCTTGTAGGAAAGGTTTTAGGATTCTATAAATATAGGGTTGTTCCTTCTAACTTAATCAGCATTCACAATGTAGTCCTAGGTTTTTGAGAGTTGCGGTTATGGAGGAGAATTTTATGTACCTCCTTGTATTCCGAGTGAATTGGTTGAGGTTGTTTCTCTCTATATTTTGTACTCTCATAGTTATAGTGGATTGCTCATCTCCTTTGTGGACGTAGGTCGATTGACCGAATCACGTTAAATCTGTCTCTTTTGGTGTGTTTCTCGTTTGTCTTCTTACTCGTGGTCTTTTGAGGTTTGCTTTGCTAGCCATCTTGACGGGTGTAGTTCTAGTCGCAACCTTTTTGACAGTAATGAAGATTTTGTTGGAGAAACTGTTTCAGAGAGGTTCTTTGTGTCGAGACGTAGATTTGATGGAGGAGATTATGGATAAGAGACGCAACATCCTAAAGATTATGTGAAGAAGGTGGACAAATTTATTTTGTCAGAAATTTAGGCCAAGGGGGAGATTTGTTGGGTTTATTTTCCCTGATTTCTTACCATAAATAGGTTTTCCTTTTAGGAAAATGTTTTAATATTTTGAGTAGTCCTTTTCTTGTAGGAAATGTTTTAGGACTCTATAAATATATGCATGTTCCTTCTAACTTAATCAACATTCACAATGTAGTCCTAGGGTTTTGAGAGTTGCGGTTATGGAGGAGAATTTTGTGTACCTCCTTGTATTCCAAGTGAATTGGTTGAGGTTGTTTCTATCTATATTTTGTACTCTCATAGTTATAGTGGATTGCTCATCTCCTTTGTGGACGTAGGTCGATTGACCGAACCACGTTAAATCTATCTCTTTTGGTGTGTTTCTCGTTTGTCTTCTTACTCGTGGTCTTTTGAGGTTTGCTTTGCTAGCTTCCGCATTACACCTGCTTATTTCGGTCCTAACATAATATAATATAGATTTTGAATCTCTTGAAGTATATAAGATTAATAGAGATTGACTCAGTAGTTAAGGGGGTTCAAAATTCACCTTGAGATTTCAAATTCAAATTCTAAACACTACATTTTTATTTTTCCAAGAACTCATTGATTCATTGCCAACACAAATCCAAAAAATATCTTGATTTAATTTGATTTTACTTGTTGAGAGTGGACCACAAATGCATATTACATTTTTGTTTTCATCTTATTGTATTGTTCCTATTTCTTAGTAAATATTCTTTGTAATATGATTTGAGTTGGAAATTCTGAGATAATATTTGTGTGGTTGATTTTTTTTTTTCTTGATTTTCCATTCAGTGTGTGATATCCACTTTAATGCCCGACTAAATTAGACTTCGCGCCATAAATTCTAGGGGGGTAAAAGCGGGGACTCCGTATCCAAGGAGATTCAAATTCAAAACCTCGACGAAGAAATTCTTACCACTCCACCACAACCCTATTTAAATTATCATCTATACTTTGATTTGTTTTGAATTACTTGTCTCAAGTGGATAACTCATAGATAGTACATTTTTTTTATTTTTTTTAGAATCTTTATACATCCCGTGACTAAACTAGCTTTATGATGCATGATAAAAACGTTTTGATAATTATATATTTCTCTATAAATAGTTGTGTGAGAGAACCCATTGTTTTTCATCTCAAATACCAAATAACAAGTATCATATAATATAAAATAATTAATATTATATATGGCATTAAAAGTTGTATTTGTTTTGTTCCTTGCAATGCTTTTGTTTACGATCGAAGAATATTAATGCTGAGATTGTTGGAGACTATTTACACTGTGTATTCATGATCGTGATTGCTTTATTAGCCTTCCATGTCAGGTTGGGTGTGGTGCCTATTGTGCTATACATCCATCACTTACTCTTAGTGCTACTGATAACGTAGAAATTCAAACTCGCGTTTGTAATGTTGGATGTTTTCTTGGCCATTGTTACAAATTTCTCATCAATAAATATGGTATGTAACGTACCTAACACTAGTCGGATTTTAACATGTTTTTATTATTTCAACACATGCTAGCTGCTTACTCCTAATTACTCGTTAATTAATTTTGCAGATCATGAAAAGTTTGGAAGGTGCATGACAAGTTGCAATGAGAACTATTGTATTAATGACAATGATAATAATATTGCTCTACCAAAAGCTTAACAAGAAGCATTAATTTTGACCACAAAGTATATATATATTGTGTCATCTATGACACTATGCTAATTAAATACTTTTGTGGTTGTAATTTTCTAAATTATGTAATCGTTATGTGTGTTGGTATTTGAATAAAAGTCTAGTGTTTCCTATTAATTATTATTATACAATTCCTAACCGATGTTTTTCATTTAAACTATAAATATATCCTATGACATACACAAATTAAAGTGATAATAGATTAAGGGACGTACATAATAGATCGACTCCTACCACATTCATTAATATACAACAAACGAAGTAAATAGGAGATATATATATTGTACTGTATCGTATTATAATATATTAATCATGATTATAATGTTTGAATACATTGTATGATTTTTCATTGTTATAATGTCGCATATTAACAATTTGAAAGACAATTCTTTTTTTTAAAAATGACGTGCATATATAAGGTAAAGCTATTATATAAACATAATGCCGCACATAGAATATGTATATATATTTGTCCTAATCATGACTTCTTCTATCACAAGAACTCAACACGATAAAAAGAAGAAATTCTCATAAAATGAAGTAGTTGATAAAACAAAACACTCCTCAACATTGAAGAAGTTTTGCAGCCATATTTAATAAATTTCTTAATAAAAATATACTACTTAAGCCAAAGTTATTAAAATCAGTCGAACCCGTTATTGTACTTCTAGCTCCTCCCCTAATTCAGAAGTGAATTTCTGATAAAATTCTTGGAAACTATGTCTATAATAATCCTTTAACAAAAAGTTTAACTTTTTGACTAAACAATATCCATCAAATATTTCAATTTATTATAATATTACTCAATTTATTTTTTACTTGTTGAGAGTGGACCACTTATGTATAGAAAAAATATTCTCTGTACATATTTTGTTCATCACAGATATCTCGTGAATAAAGGTGTACGGTGTTAGGACAGAAAGAAGCAGGTGTAACGCGGAAGCTAGCAAAGCAAACCTCGAAAGACCACGAGTTAGAAGACAAACGAGAAACACACCAAAAGAGACAGATTTAACGTGGTTCGGTCAATCGACCTACGTCCACAAAGGAGATGAGCAATCCACTATATAAACATGAGAGTACAAAATATAGAGAGAAATAACCTCAACCAATTCACTCGAAATACATGGGAGGTTCACACAAGTGATAACGTATCAAGCTTGTGACCCACAAATTACTCCCCAAACCAAAACTCTCAAAGACCCTTAAGACTACATTGTGAATGCTGATTAAGTTAGAAGGAACAAGTCTATATTTATAAAGTCCTAAAACTTTTTCCTACCAGAAAAGGACTAGCCAATCCAAAACCTTTTTCCTAAAAGGAAAACCTATTTATGGTAAGAAATTCAAGGCAAATAAAACCCAACATACGGATCGATGTACTTGGAAATTAATTAAATAATAATTACTATGCAACATTAAAACGTTATTGTAATAACATGATGAAATTGAAAAAGAATTATTTGCAAACTTAAAATAATATTTAATGTCAAATATCTTGTGATTAAGTCGACATTTTTATTAAGGTGAGTCCAAACTATACAAAAAAACAAAAAAAAAAAAAAACACTTGCAGTACACTTATCCTGAAGGTCATTTTTAGAAAATTTTGAAAAATTACCGTTGTACCCCTCCTCATAGTAACTCCGGGTCATGTTGGATCCTTTTATGCGATTAGGTTTGAAATCGAATCGAAAAGTTGTGATTTTTGGAAGTTTTAGAGTTTAGGAGGTTTTAAGTTGTTAAAAGTGTTTTTTGGTCCACACTCGTAGCTACGAGTCTCAAAATGAAATTCCATCAATTTTCATGTTATTGTATTGTTCCTTTCTTAGGAAATATTCTTTGTATTCTGTTCATATCACATTTTTTGGGTCTACAAGCTTTGAATCCATATATATATGTAATTTTGCAGATGAAAACAAGATTGATAGCTCCATGAACGACTACAGTGAAAATAATTGCTCTAAAGAAAGCTTAAGAACAAGTGTTGGAAGAATTATTGTCACAAATGTATGCCTCTAGCTGTCACGATCCAGACTGTCGTGATTGACACCCACACTGACCCTCCGGTGGGAGAACCATTACTACAACCCAACTAAGCAACTTAACGAAAAACTAAGCATTTAAAGATACGGAAGCAGGTTTAAATGACAAAAACACGGAGTTCCCATAAACTCTGAAAGCTTAAATAAGCAACTAAACATAACTATTGCGGAAATTCAACCTCTAGAACCTGAAAGTCAATGTACCAAAACTCTACGAAACGACAAGTCTAAAAAAATGGGGGTGCAACCCCGAATCTAACATAAGTAAAAGTCTCAATAAGCAGTCTGAGTCCGAAAAGAATGGACTAAACAATTGAAGGATCCACAACAGCCTGGAAGAACTGGCTCACCCTTAAATCCGGTCTTCGATCAATGATCCCCTAGCTGAGGTCTGTCAGTAGTCGCCTGAAGATGCCCTATACTGAACAAAGAACTAGCAAATGCAGTATCAGTACACAACCACAGTGTATTGGTAGGATCACACGACCACCCTAGTAAGCACAATATACACAAGCAGTTACAACACAGTCAACACATATACGGAATGCACAAGTCAATTATCATTTTAGAGCAACATACAATCTCCCAACATCAATGCCAATTAGATATGAACATAATAATCACAAGTGGTCCTCTCATGGAACCACACCCAAACTGTTAGTGTGTTGGAACGTGACACCCGAGCCAATGTATGTGTCGAAACGTGACATCCGGTCCAATATATGTGTCGAAGCGTGACACTCGATTCTATGCATGTGTCGAAACGTGACACCCGATCCAATCAGCACAACCACTATCAGAACCACTCCATAAGGAATAGTACATATAGTCACGTGATCAAGTACTAGGTTCATTTCATGTAGTTGTTCGCACATAATCATTCATTAGATTTGATTCACATTTCACTATTTACATACACACATGCATACTATGAAGTAATCTACGACATACATCACACAAACAGGAATTCGAACCATCACCTACCTCGAAACCAAGCTTGAATTTGTTAGGGTTCTGAAAGGAAAATATAATTTTCTTTCCATATTTGGTTTATTCTTTCCTTAGAGGAAAAGTTTGGAGATCTATAAATTGAAGATTCCTATTCTCATAGCATAACACAATAGAATCCACAATGTAGTCGTTTAGAGACTTTTGTTTATGGGGAGATTTATTCTCTCAATAGTTTTAATATTTTTCTTTTATATTAGTTTTCATATAATAATATTATGTTTTTAGTATAAGTTTTCTTTCATCTAATTTATCAATCTAATGATTTGCAATTGTAAGCTTCCGCATGACATCATATTCCCTTTCGAACCCAACAAAATCGTCCTAAGACACTTGATCCTTCCCTTTCCGGATTCTTTCTGTTTGATCTTGGTCTATAAACGAGTAATTTACGCAAGGATCAATAAACAAGGTCTAAATTATCCGAAAAATAACACAATTATTAACCCAAGACCAAACCCAGATCCTAATATTCAATTAGGGCTTTTTCTATCAACTTCAGGCCAAAACCCTTCCCCTATGATAATTACCCAAGATTCTAAGTTTTAGGAATTGAAATACGGATTAGGGGAGTAATTTCCTTACCTTTAGCGTTAGAAATCGTGGAAAATCAAGAGTGCAGTTTTATTTTCTTTTTCACATTGTTGGTATATATATATATGTCAAAACTCAAATCTTTTCAGAAAGACTCAATGTAAATGATATTTACACAATTAGGCTACTTATAAGGTAAACTTGAACCAAGGTAGTCAAATGAAATGAAGGTACCATATGCTGTATATTTTACATTGTATTAGAGACAAAATTAACAATGAGTATATACTAGAGTTGACATACTTTATATATGTTGACAATATAAAGAATGTTTACACTATCGGTGAACATGTTGCATGTACCAGGTTACATGTCTTATTTCATAGATTACTAATCTCACTTGTTATGAACATTTATCTTTTAGTAGATTCGATAGTGTAAAATATCAAAGTTACGCCATAATCTAAATAATAACGTTAAGGGACTTTATCAAACCTTCAACTTGTCAAACTACTTACATTTACGAAGAATTCTGCGCTGAAAAACTACTTATCTTTATAAAGAATTCATTTTTAACGAAAGGAAGGGTCGTTACAATTGAAAATCAAAATAAAATAAACAACAGTAAAATAAGTTTATAAGTAGACAGCTGATACATAGTACATTTTTGTTTTTATCTTATGTATTGTTTCTTAATACCTTAGAATCTTATAGTACAAATATGTCCTAACTAAGTTTCATAACATACATGATTAAAATATTATGATAATAGTATGTTGTTAAACTTAGAAGATAATGTTGTTAAATTTATGAGAAGTTTATACAAATATACGGTCAAATCTCGTTATAAAAGTCATTGATTATAACAACATTTCATTATAATAACCTAATTTTCTAGAGAACCAACTTTTCATCTGACATTTTTACTTCTCTATAGGGATTGTATAGGGGTTCTGTACTTCTGCATTGCATTTTTTATTTTATATCAGTTTTACCTATAAGAGATCTGAAAATAATATGCAAAAAGATCTGTAATGATTATTTTCATTAATTCAAATTTTAAACAATCAATGAAGATTATTTTCTTGAGACGACGAAAGTAAAAAATAATTACGGAGATAATGAGAAAAAGAAGAAGAAGAAGGGAAATATAAATCACAATAATACAGTAAAAAAGAGGAATCATGTATAAGACTAGGGGTGTACATGACCGGGTTGGTTCGGGTTTTTCAAATATTAAACCAAACCATTTGTGTAAAAAATTTTAATTTATAAATCAAACCAAACTAATAAA